GTAACACAGAGAGATTCTTCTCCAGGTCTTGCCTCTGAGTGACCATGTTAAAGGCATCAGTTGTTGGTAGTGGGGGCCAGCCATGTTCAGTCACTTAGGCCTGGCTGGACTCACAGGAAATGGGTTGAGGGACTCAAGCAAATGGCTTCTGTTCCTTACATTGTTTGAGGAGTCCTTGCCCAGATGGCTAGGACAGAGAGGACTGGAGAGGAAGGGTGTCAAGGATGGTGCACTCCCAGTTACAGATATGGCGCTTCCACGGAGATCAGGTGGAGTTCTGAGGTTTTGGAAACTACCTGAAAACCTTCCACTAGCTCTCTTTCTTTTTCTTTCTTTCTTTCTTTCTTTTTTTTTAAGATGGGCATCTCACTCTGTCACCCAGGCTGAAGTGCAGTGGTGTGATCTCGGCTCACTGCAACCTCTGCCTCCCAGGTTCAAGTGATTCTCAATGCCTCAGTCTCCGAGTAGCTGGGATTGCAGGCATGCACCACCACACCAGCTAATTTCTATTTATTTTTAGTAGAGATGGGGTTTCATCATGTTGGCCAGACTGGTCTCGAACTCGTGACCTCAAGTGATCTACCCGGCTCAGCCTCTCAAAGTGCTGGAATTACAGGTGTGATGCCCGGCCCTGCTTGATCGTTTTTGAAAAGGAGAAATCCAGGAACAGACCCGAGGGAGTTACAAGGTGGAGAATGTTGAAAGTATTTCTCAAAATGCTATTCCTCTTCTCAACACCAGTTCAGCATTCTCCTCCAGAGATTTGGTGTCTCACACTGCCTTTTGTGCTGTAAAAGCCAAATGAGAGGCATTTAAATTATTTCTGTTGCCTAGGAAAGAGAAATATTATCCACAGTAACAAAACATCAAATTTTATTATGCACAAGTTAGTGCTATATATTTAGGAGTTTTGCTTTAGAGGATATAATTTAGAAAAATGGGACAGCTTTTCATTGGCTTGGAAGTTTCTATTGTCAAAACATATTACCAGGAAAGTACAATACATTGTAAAATTATAAGGAACTGCAATTCAGTCCTATTTTGACTTTATTTATAAAAAAACAAATTAATAGCAAATGAATAAAACTTTTAAACCATTATCCGGGTAATAATACTAAACAAAACAACTAATAAAACAGGCGCATTCAAACAGCTGTTTAAGGAAACCCAATGATATTTCATCCATTGTCAAACTTGGCATTTGAGCAGAATAAAGACCAAAGTAAATATTTATTGATTCATGTGAGAATACTGAAAATTTCTCTTTTATAAGTAGAATAAGCAAATAAACCATGATTTATAAAAACCCTGGCTAACTAAAATCAGCTAATGGGTCTATTCAAAAAATTCTTATCATGTAAACTGTGAACTGACAATTATAATTGAAAATTACCAGTTTCTCTATGAATTTAATATACATATAGTTAACCACCTGCTTGACTGTTATACAGAGCCATTTAAACGTGCAAATGGATGTACAAATGTTTGAAGTCTTTTGAACCAAACACATTAATTGCCAGTCTGTGTTAATGGAAACACACAGAATGGATGCCCGCCTCTCTGTAATAAATATAAAAATTCCCTGGGCTTCTGAGCCTCCATACTAAGCACACATGGAGGCTTTTTACAGGAAAAGCTCATTTAGAGATTGAGCCCCTCAACCCCAACCAAATAGGTGATAAGGAGACAGGAAAAGTTGTATTGGCCAGATTGACTACAAGCACACTGCATTCCTAACACTGTTCTGTCCAAGTAGGGGTCTGTAGCCCAGATGGCTACAGAATTGGCAGTGAGAAGTGAGGCAAAGTTCAAAGCAAGCACAGGGGCACATTTAGTGCCCAGTTTCCTCCCTGTTGACACCTGGGCAGGTTGGGCAGGTGACCTTGTGCTTTTCCTTAGTGGCCTGAGGACTCCCATCATGACTTCCCCTGGACCTGCCCTCACAATGCAGTGATCCACAGCTAAGATGCTCTTCCTCCTTAGCAAGATATATCAGCCCCCTGTCCCCTGGCCCACAGGCCCTGAGTGTTTCAGATAGAAACACAAGGATGGCCTGCGTGCTCCTCTGCCCAGCCTCCCACTCAGCAAGGGCCACCAGCTGTCCGAGCTAGGGGCCTCTCTGAGGGCTGGTGGTAGGCCCCTCCTGCAGTCACTTTTCCATGACTCTCTGGCCATCGGGGTGTAGATGGAGGTGGCCCCAGCTTGACTCTGAGCCAGGGCTCAGTGATCTATGTTGATGCCTGGAAAGCATCTGGAGGCCTGTGGGGTCTGGGAAGACCCATCCTAAAGTAAGAGGGTGCCAGGGAAGCTAAGTTTGGCTCAGTTCCAGAGCTTTAGTGTTCAGAAGGGAGGTGAGACTCTGGATCACCTGATTTTTTCAGCAGCCCAGTCCTAAGATTGTACGTCTGAGTCTTACCCAGAGGAAAATCTGCAAACGAAAAAGTGAAAACAGCAGTTTCTCTAAAAACAAGGTAATAGGATGGGGCACAAGAAGCTGTTTTTTTTGTGGGGAGCCTTTACAAAACAAAATATAAAATCTGCCGGCTGCTGTGGCTCACGCCTGTAACCCCAACACTTTGGGAGGAGCCTGAGGCCAGTGGATTGCTTGAGGCCAGGAGTTCAAAATCAGCCGGTTGTGATGGTGGATGCCTGTAATCCCAGCTACTCAGAGAGGCTGAAGCATGAGAATTGCTTGAACCCGGAAGGCAGAGGTTGCAGTGAGTCAAGATCGCACCACTGCACTCCAGCCCGGGCTACAGAGAGAGACTCTGTCTTAAAAAAAAAAAAAAACAAAACCAGAAAATATAAAATGAAACAAATCATTCTTCACTTTTCCCAAATCAGTCCCAACCTGGGGTTGTGAAGACTTCAAGACATTAGAGGTGATGCTAGGAAGTAGTGGGAATTGACTTATTCCTGGAGACTTTTAGGAAATTCTTGGGAGTAGAAGACAGACTTTGCGAGAAGCTAAGATTTTTCAAGATCAAGTTAGGGTAAGAGTTAGCAACATGGGGATCTTGTTTTTAATGAACCCAATTCACCTCCTCAGCCTGACGATGCCCGGAAACACCCAGGCAAGGTGAAGCATGAGTTCAGTATTACCTGTCAGATAGATGTGTTTCTCACTTCTGCTGCTGTCTTTCACCTCTGCTCTGCCCGGTTTCATCAGTGTCACACCTAGCCCAGCCTTCAACTTTACTCTCCAGGCTTGTTTCTGAATGAGCTTTAGGTATTATCAAAGGCATCATCCTTTAACCTCAAAGGATAAAGACTCTTCACCAGTGAAGATATAAGAAGACAAAGCCACAGGCTCTGAGGGTCATTTCGAGAGTGCTCTGGGCATCCTTTGAGCACATTCGTGTCACCCTCCTCTGCGGTTACTCCTCATATGATGAGCATACCAGCCGGTCCTGGGATTAGACAGTGAGAAGGGCCTGCTTTCACTGGCCTCAGGTCACTGTTGACAGAGCCACAGGAAGAAGAAAGAGATCCAGATCTCCTGGGAAATCAGGTCCTCATTTACTTGTAGTCCAGAGAGAGAGACAGAGCAGAAAATCAAAGACAGCCTGAGACACATGTCTGTGGCCTCTGATCATGGACACCTGTGCACAGAATACAAGTCCTGAAAGGAAATGGTGTACAAATCATCCATGGTGTGGTGACTTCTAATCCAGAGCCAGGCCTCTGTCCCTGGCAGCCCCCCTGGGCAGGCCCGGGGCAGGCTGGGCCTCCGCACAGAATGGGAAAGGAGAGGTCACTAGAATCAGGGGAGATGGGGACTGAACCAGCTGTACTACTGGTCTTTGTGGGGGATGCCATCCAAATGCCAATGGCCAAAGGGGCCTGAGGTTTCTGGCCCCATCCCAGTGTCCTTGTTCATTTCTGGGAAGACACTCTGCATAGGGACTGTTTAGTGACAGCAGGAGGAATTTAGTGCTAGAAGGCAGCAGGTGATGGAAGCTTCTTGGAGGACGACAGCTGGTGTCTGCAGATGTGGGGAGCAGGGTTGCCCCAGTGGAAGGAATGAGGGGAAGGTGACCAACCATACCCCTTTACCTTGAATTGAGGGGTCCTGGGATGGGGGCTTTCAGTGCTAAACCTGGGGAAACCCTGGGCAAACCAGGACAAGCTGGTCCTCTGGGGAAGGCCAGAGAATCGCTGTGCAGGGCATCAGGGCCCCGGCTGGGCAAGAAGAGAGATGCCAAGTTCAGAACTGTTTAGATCTTAAGGCATAAAGCTCCTTCACAAAAATCAGGTGCAAAGAAAACCCCAGTCCTCCCTCCTTTAACACACATGCACACACACAGGCACACAAACCTACAAAAAAGACAATTTCCTCTTAGTGAACTTATTTAATGTATGCAGCCCTCATTTCTGCTGATAGCAGCCATTTCTGATTTATTCCTTGCTGTAAGAAATTTCTTACATCTTCCTTCCTCTGGGGTTCCCAGTGTTGGAATTGAAGCTTTGGGTCTCCACTAAGCGAGTTGGTCTGGTAAGGGCTTCTTCCTAGTACAGGCCCAGTCCTCTGTGTGGGTCACCCAGCCCAGGGGAGGCAATGGGTGAGCAAGGCAAGTGCCTAAGTGTCCAGGCTTAGACCAGACTTGGGGCAAGATGACACATTCCAGCTCTCTCCAGCAGCTGCCAAGGAGTCAGTGAAGGTAGTGTTTATCTTGGAGCCAGTCAGGCAATGCTAAAGTTCAAAGACCCAGTGTCTCTGGCTGGCCAAGGCTGGAGAAAGAAGGTTAACATGTGGGTTTTCTGGCTTCCACCAATGTAGTTCTCCCCAGAAGACTTCCCTGTTGTGTTTAGCAACAAGTCTGAGACCATTAGAAGTCTCCCTATTCAATGTAGATACTGTTTTAAATATCTTCCCATTAGCAAAGGGATTTATTTTTGTTTTGTTCTTGGGAGGATAATTCTCGTTGTCTTAAAAAGGCTTTACGAATTTTCTTAAAAACACTGCATTTATCTGATGTAATCCTGCCACTCTCTTACAGGAACAGCTGTTGGTGTTTGCAGCCACACATGTTTGAGATCAGTTATCTTTTGACATAATGACCAAGATTTTTTGTTATGTCAGATGAGATAAAAGTAAGTATTTGCTGCTACAGTTTCCCCTGATAAGCAGTATTCCACTTTTATATAAGAGGGCCAGATGGTTGAATTAAGGATGAAATAACACATATTGAAATTTGCTTTTAAATCTACCTCTGTACACAGAGGTTCTCTTAAGAGAGGTTTACCATCAATCTTTGGCTTTGTCCTCTCCTAATGATACGGGAACTATAAAGAAATTATTTAGGCAGTTAGTGAGGGTAAGAGAGTCTTTGTCAAGGTTTCCTTTTTAAGAAAAAGCAGCCCCCAAATCATTTCTTTTCTAACAAAGAGCAGCCTGAAAAATCAAGCTGCTGACATAGAAAAGCAAGATAGAAGCTTGCATGGGTGAATGCCGGTAGCCGTGCCAATGGGAAAAGGCTACCTGGGGGCCAGGCATGTTCAACATGGAGGCTCTATCTTCCCTTTTCTTTGTCAACCACATGTACAGCAATGAAGCAGGCAACATGGCGCTGGCCAGGTAGAGAACCCAGCTGCATAATAGAAGATTACAGTGCACTGGCCAGCTTCTTGCACTATGCAAATGACATGCCTGGTCTGACCAATCTCTCGTACCCTGTGTAAATCAGACACTGCCTCCTCAAGCTCCTGCATAAAATCCCATGCATTTCACCACGGAACTGGAAGACCTACTCGGGAGCTCCTCTGTCTCTACAGCAGAGAGAGCTTTTCTCTTTCTTTCACCTGTTAAACCTCTGCTCTTAACCTCACTCCTTGTGTGTCTGTGTCCTTGATTTCCGTGGCGTGAGGCAACGAACCTCAGGTATTATCCCAGATGAACGATGCCACTTCACTAAGGAAGATAAAGGAAACTAGAGACTAAGCTCAATATCACACTCCTCCCATGTGTATGCACACTTACATATACATCTTTGTTTTAATTTAAGCAGGAGAAAGAAGTTAGGAAAGTGGTTATGTTCCTAAGCTGTTTTTCCATAATCTGAGCTTTGTTGGAAGTATTAGAACAGATCTGTAGCAAAACTCAGAAACTGTGAACCCTCAGTGCAGTTTCTCAAATGTGCTCACATGTGATCCTAGATCCATCTTACACCTTGCTATTCCAGTTTAATAGTAGGGTATTGAATCTGGCTTCCTGTGCTGCAGTGATTTAGAAGGTGTGTGAAATATGGAATTGTTTTGTTGGACTCTTCCTTATTCCTTATCTGTTTGCCACCCACCAATACAGCAACTACTAAAAATAAGGCTAGAGCTCTGTGTTCTTCCAGTAGTGAGATGAATCAATGTTGATAACGTGCCCTCTCTTGATTCCCAGGTGTATAAACAATGAAATTTTTGATGAGTTTTCTTGCCCAAGGGGTGAAATCTCCAGCCAATAAACAGAGCATCTATCTGTGTGTGAGTGCCTGTCTGTGTGCACATGAGTGCATGCCTTGTGTGTCCGTGTGTGTGCATTCGTGTGCTGTGTTTTGAAAGAAGCTAATTAAACTGTAGACACTAAATCTTTAGATGTTACTGAATCAACTCAATCAACCAGTTCTGGCAAGTCCAAATATTAGCAGTGGTAGCAAATACGAATAAGCGATCACATATAGAACACTTGCCATGTGGACAATCAGATGGATTCTGTCATCTAAGATTTAAAAAGCAAAATAAAAAAATACCACGGAAACCTTCATGTTATGGGAAAGTGACTGCGTATTTGTAAAGAACACAGTCAATACTAGATGTGTGAGCTGTAAATAATGTAGTCATTATTATTTTGGTCTGGAACACTTTATGTCCTTTAGTCATTAAAATTAGGATCTATAAGACTGGGGCAGCATGGAGAAATGACTATTACACCATGCAGTGACTTTTTTTAAAAAAGAGAAACATAAACTTAGGGCATCTATTTCCCACCATTTTCTCATTTAATTACAATTCCCTGATACCTTTCTACTAGTCTCGTGCTGTTTGGGGGCAAACTAGTAAGAAGCTGGGGGCAAAAGTCTCCTCTTCCAATAAATTCCTGTGGAAGTAGGAAGCTATTATCTGTTTCTTCCTTTTATAATGGAGCTTAAATTCTTACCTGAAATAGACCCCAGCTGTGGAGGTAAAGGGTGTGGAGGAGAGGAAGAAATAACAGTGTTTGTGAGTGCGTATGTGTGTGTGTGCACGTATGTGGCAGGTGTTTGCAAACACATGGGAAGCACCTATGCTTTCCTTGTTTCCAGTGGGAGAAGCTGCCTAAAGCATGTCTCTTCCTGTTCAGCAAGACATCTCGGTTCCCTGAAAATTCATCAGGGATGGTGAAATCTCCATGAACGAACACAGAAAGCTCCACCAAAGGGACAGTTCATGGTGAATTCAGTGATAGTGACATTCTAGAAGTTGACACCGGTCAACCCTTTCTATCCACCTCCACCCTGTCTCAGTGTCTTTCTTTTGCTGTTGCTTCTCATCACCAACAAACTCATGTCTGGTTTTTGGGAAACATTACTGTGTAACGGCTTCTGTAAAATAAGAGCTCTTCTTTGTAGAAAAATGTAATAGTCTTAGCAATTAAGCCCATGTTTTATAGTATTGTTTCATTAGGAATAAATACATATATTGTAATTAAAAACTTTTCTCAGCTTCTGAGTGGTCTTTCCATTTCATTAAATATTAAGAAGTGGGAGTATGAACGAAGGAATTAAAGAAGAAACAGAAAAGAAGGAAAAAAATTCACAAAATGTAATACACAATCACACCAGGCAACTGTAGTCTCTTTCCTGGATAATTTGTGTTAAAATTTATCAGACTCAGAAGCTGATATAGTTTCTCCTTGTTGTCTAATATCATCGCAGGTCTATCTGGCTCATTGATAATGTAATTTCTTTCTGTTTAAAGGCAAAATACTTCAAGTATTTGACAAGCTAAACATTAGCCCTAAAAATGTGTATCAATCTGCATTTATATATTTTCTACATAAAAAGTTCTCAAACTCAAAATCAAAATATTTACAAAGGTATCATGTGCTTATCGATGTCACACATTTTCTTTGCAAAGTGCATAATGAAAATTTCAGAAGTAGTCGATTCTGTTTGCTGTAAAATATCTCCATTAAAATACAAAGAAACTATTGATGCACGGGGCAATTTGCATGGATCTTAAGAGGTGTTCTGCTGAGTAAAAAACTGCCAGTCTCAAAAGGTACATACTGAATGATTCCATTTTTCTAGCATTCTCAAAATGACAAAATTACCAAGATGAAAAACGGATGGGAAGGCCGGAGTGAGGGAAGGAGATGGAGAGAGGGAGGCGGTGACTATAAAGGGACAACTCAAGGGAGTTTCTTTGCAGTGATGGAGCAGTTCTGTGTCTTGATGGTGGTGGTGACGATATGCATTTCTACAGGAGGTAAAATGTCATAGAGCTGTACACAAAAACATACACAAGAAAAATGACTGCATGCAAAGGCTGGCAAAATCCAAGTAAGGTCTAAGCTCTAGTTAAATTGTATTCTCAATGTCCTGGTTTTGCTAATGTACTGTAGTTATCATTGCGGAAGACCGGGTGATGAGTACATGAGACTTCCTTGTACTATTATTGCAACTTCTTGTGAGTCTGTAATTATTTCATTATATAAAGGTAGAAACATAAATCTCTGTTGAAGAAAAAATTCTGGCAACTAAACACACTTGGAAGCAATTTAGTCAAAAGACTGGTGTCCTTTCAGGAGGCAGAGCCCTTAAGTGTAAACGCTGAAGACCCCTGATTTAGCATATGTTTAGTATCCAGGTAACCAGGACTGCAACTCTTAGACTGTGTAACTGAAAACAATTAATTGTTCCCATTACTTTTATGAAGGTTGTAGAATCAGGAAATTTCAGAGCAAGCAGGGTCCATGCTCTCAGGTTACAACTCTCTGTTTTGATATCCTGATTTGTAATGTGAGGGCTTTGTCCTAGTTTCTTTGCAGTGTCTTGCCTAGTTCTAAATTTCATACTACACATAAACTACAGAAATGGTAATGGTAATCATAAATTTTGCCTCAGTATTGCATAAGACAAATATTTCAACTTATGTTGATTATAAATGTGGATACAGAAAGAACCCATTTATTATGTAACACCATCTATTAAAAATAACTGGAGAGCAAACCAACTGGACTAATTCTTACTCCTTAGATCAGGTGGTAATTTTCCAGCACAGAGGGTCTGGGCGGTTTCCTTGAAATGACATATCATTACATCCTCCTTGTATAGAATATAGTGCTCATATCTACTGATATCTACTGGAGTGTCTGCGTAGAAAGGGGTGGCATCAGTGTGTCCCAGTAAGGACCCCTTGACTGCCCATGAAATCTGCCAAATCGACCCTGGGGAGATTCAGAACAAACACTCAAACTCAGGAGGCTCTAACCCTTATTATTTGGGAATAAATGATGATATGCTTTTTATAACCAATATGGCTTTAGTTTCCTTACTTGTCTCAACTACTTTTCTTCATGGAATGCTAAAATAGAACGACCTTGGGAAACTGAGCCCACTGTAAAAACAAAGTCAGGTTCTAGGGCTGTTCCTCCCTCATGATAACATGCCTAGAGAAAAGGATTTTAACTGCAGCAACATTTTTTTTTTTTTTTTTGGTATTGAGTTCCCTTAAGTCTATAATAATTTATATTTGAAAAAAAAAAAAGAACTAGCAACTCATAGCATTAGTGTAATAATTTTATTAATAAAACGAACCCATGGGATTCAAACAAGTATACAAAGTATTTTTTTTTTCCTGTGGGTTAAATTGTTACACTTTTAATAATAAAAATAAGAAAGTTTTCATAGTTAACTTACCAAAAACATAACCCTTGCCTATTGTTTCTTATTGTGCAAAACAAAAACAAAGAGTTTTGCCCACAGAAGGATTTTGTGCACCAAAACATGCACATTTTCAATTTCAAAATTTCTGCATCAAAATGAAAATTCCAAGGCCACGTTTTTGTTTTTTCAAACTAAAGAAGGGCAAGAGGGGAATAAACAAGCAAATAACAGCAGCTAAATTTTTAATCTTCATTCCCAGGTATTTTCTGTTTCAATGTAGAATTCTCCACATTCATAAAATGATATCTTCAACCTACTGCTTACGGTCAGATATGCCAGTATCAGTTCGATAAGGCAAGTCACACCTTTTAGCTATTCTCTTAAGTCCTACAGAGATAGTTTCACTTCAATTTCACAGGGTCACTTCAAGATTTATCTAAAACGGTGACAAAACAATCCTAGTGAAGGATTCCTTTAAGTAGTTGCTTTTCTAGATGGAGCCAAATAATTAAACTTTCTTTCTCTCCATACTGGAGTTTGTTTCTTTCATTACGTTTTAGTATCACGGAGTCGAACAATGCTTTGACAAGGCATGAACTACAACTTAGAAGTCAATGAACAGTTGAAGATGATGTTTTGTAAAGTAAAAATCAACTGTGTAGACAACACTTAAATACACATTACCTGTTTAAAGATACACACACAAAAGAGCAAAATTCAAAAACCAAATCAAGGAATAACGTTGTGTGACAATTTCAGTAGCACAATTACTGGTCTAACAGTTTTGCATTGTGGTATAGTGGCTTACAATGAAAGAACTATGCAGGATGCTTCCATGATTGCAGAGAAGAGAGGTAAGCCCAGAGGGTGAAAAGCATACATTTGCCTAATGTGTGTAGAAAATTCCCTGATCAAATGGCCAACTAACTTTTAAATACAAAATTTAACCTTAGAAGAACTTTTCTATTTTTGGTGAACATTGATTGAAAGAAAAATCAATCATTCTGTTAAATGAAGTACAATATTCTGCAGCGGAAGCACCAGGGTTTCTAGATCAAACCCTTAGGACATGAAGAAAACCAAAGTACTCTGCTAGTTCAAAATCTCTATCACAGGAATCCCTGGCTCCCTTCCATGTGTCCAGAGATGCTCTCAGCTCACAAAGCCAACAGATGGAGGGAAAAGCAAGTGAACATGTGACCATGTAGGAGGGGAGCTGGGGACAGTAAAACACTGCTCAGACTTTTAGCAGAAACACAATCCTGTTGGTCTGAATATCCTGAGGTTAAAGGATAATAAAATATTGCACCAACACAATAAAGAAAAAATCACAGTTTAAACAGAATTACTGAAGAACTGGAATAATGTACAATGCAGTGACTGCCATCAGTAGACCTAGGTCTCCTGACAGGAATTAAAGTTGTGTCTTTTTTAAAAAATGGCACTCCTACCTTCTTTTGGTTTGGTGTTTATTTTGACATTCTCTTAGGTATACATATATTTACTTCCATTTAATGCTAACTTACTGAATTTTCCCCTTGGCCCAGTTTCATATTTAGTGATAGTTGCTGTAAACAGCAGTAACTCCAAAGAAGAGTACTCAAGGCGAGAGATTTAAAAACATATCTGATAACCCCATTAGAGGTAGGTTAGAAAAAGGCCTTTTATTTTGGACTGTGTAGTTATCAAGGCATCCTGCAGATGCAACCTCTTCTCTCACTTCTTTCTCTGACATGCTCCTAGGTGAATAAGATATGAGGAAAATCAAACATATATCCTGTTAAAGCACTTAAAGGGGGTAAAAAGTACAGCCTTCAACAAAATGTGTTTTCACACGAAATTCATCTTTCCCCTTTGAACCGACAAGCTTTTCAAGAAACCCTTTCTTGGTTTCATAATACTGTACTGCCAATTTATAAACTACGTTTTAGTCTACCCTTGAAAGAATGAAAACTGTAGTACTTCATTAGGACCTCATATGACCATGATCTCAAGAAAAGATACTTTCAATGTCTCTAGGCCTGAATATGATAGGAAATCATGAAGCACCCAAAACCTCAGGGTCTCACGTTGTATTTGGAGTGGGCCATTTTCCTATTCATGCACACCCTTGTTTTGTTACCCTCTCCAAAATCAAGTCTTCCCCGCTTCAGTTCATATCGCCTTCATTCCACTCTTTAAAACGCCATGGGAAACTCCCACAGTATTTCCACTGTTGACAGATTCCTTTCTCTCAGGTCAGCGCAGGCACCCTTTCACTTACTCTATAACCATCAGGACTTCCATTACATTCTGTGACTTTGCACATCTTCATCCCAGTTTTTAACAGGGATATATATATGACCACCATATAAACTTGTGCAGCAATCCTGTCGGCCCACTAGAAATTTCTCACATTCTTTAATTCCTGTTGCCTTCAGTCTTGATATTCATTTATGTTTTCAAGTGAATCTTTCCTGTCTCTTTCCCAAAAAGGCAGAAGGAAAAGAACCAATGTTCTAATTTGATGATGAACACAGTGATTTCTGAAATATGTTCAGAGAATGAAGGAAACAGGCTGGGTCTCTTCTACATCGCTAGGATGTGGATCAACCTGCAAAAAAAGAGCAGACTGAGATTAGTGTTGTAGCATTATTTAAAATGATTCTAGTACCTATTTCTAATTACATGATGGTTATATGCCAAGTTGGTCAGAGCCTGCTATTAGTAAGTCCCAGAAGGTGCTTAAGTTCTCTATATTCCATGGCCAAATAACAGACCTTAGAGGCAATCCACAATATTGTATATGATGCCACAGATCACGAGGAAAATAGTAAAAAAATTTGGCAAAAGAATC